ACATCCCCAGAGAGGATAAAAGCTTGGGAAGCATTAAAGTTTCTCTCTCTCCCTCCACGTGGACCACCAAGCAGGGCTGAGGTGAGCAATGCTACCATGAATTGTGTCTGACTCCATTACTTGACTCTATCTTTTAACTCTTATGCTATGACTTTACTATAATCTTTACTTATTATCGCTGTACAATTGCGCCTACCGGACCTGTGATGTTTTGTGGGGAACCCCTCTCCTCTTCACCCCACAATCCAAAGTCTTATTTATTATTACTATCACTCACTCCCATGTGTTATTTCCATCTTAAACAGTTTAGATTCAAAGCCCAACACCTAACACCACTCTGCCACCAGGGCTCCCCAAATTTCTATTAGATCCTTGAAACTCACTGCCATTGAAGTTACTTCCAACTCATAGTGACCCTACAGGACACAGTAGAACTGTCCCTGTGGGTTTCTGAGGTTATAAGTATTTTCTGTGACTATAAATCTTATCTTTCTCCTTTGGATCAGCTGGTGGTTTTGAACTGCTGACCTTGGTTAGCTACCCAACTTCTAATCCACTACACTGCCAGGGTTCTTGTGGACTCCTTTTAGTGACTTCCAATTCCTAGATGGCTAGCTCATTTCCTTGGTCGCTTTTCCTATGATTTTCTTCTCTACCTTGCCTCAGCAGTTCACTGCCACAGTGAACTTCATATCATTAACAATGACTACAATCCCTTCTACACAAGTCTCAAGAGTCTTTCCCAGACAACTAGCCTTGTTAACTCACTTCTTCTAACACCCCAAATCCAATCATTTTAATTTAGGGACTTTAATCTGTTAGATTCTTGTTTATCAGTATTCATCCTCATGCCTACGTGTTTATTTCTATCTTTACACATTTTAGATTCCATTAAGGCATCATTATAAGCATTCCTAACACAGAAACTAATGTCCTCACTGCCTTTACCTTGTTTACCTAACTTGAACCCTATGCTTTATATTCAATTTTTCACCAACCAGCCCCTTGTTGTCAAAGTTAAAACATATACAACCATGCTGACTGATCAACCTTAAATTTATGCCTATTAACTTATTGTTGTTAGTTGCCCTGGAGGTGGCCCTGACTCATGGCAGAACAAAACAATGCCAGGTGCTACACAATATCCTACAAATGGTTAAAGAAAGGACTCTTGCACTCCAAAAAGTTTTCAATGGCTAATACTTCAGCATTAGATATTCAAACCCTTCTCCCTAGTCTGAGAGCTGATGAAACCAGTTTATCATGACAGCAACATGCACACCTCCACTGATAGATGGGTGAGGTGGTTGTGTAGGAGGTACCCTAGCTTCCCCACAAGCAAAATGAGAATTCTACCACTGATTCCCCCCATTGCCATAGTTGATCCCAATGCCTGGTGACCCTACAATACAGGGTCCTTTTGTGTTTCTGAGGCTGTATGTCTTTATAGAAGCAGACAACCTTATCGTTCTCTTCAGGAGCAACTGATAGGTTTGAACCCCTGACCTTGTGATTGGTACTCCAATAGCTAACCTTCCGTTATCCTAAAGAGGCTTGAATGTTGCTTTCCCTTACTTAAGCCACTCTCTGTCCTATTATCCTAGGTAACTACATTATACCTTCTCCTTTCACCTTAAAATAACACTACTTCCTATTCAACCTCACTCGCAGCTGATGACTTTGCATTCTACTTATTAAAAAAAGCAATCAGATGTCCTCTTCCTCCCACTCTCCATTTACCTCAAACATCTGTGTTCTGTCTTTCTACCTACTTACTTTGGATAAACTGTCCAATATGCCACTCCCACACTATGCCTACCGGAATTTCAAGTCCAGCTGCTGGAAAGATCCTGGGCCTGTATATGCTTGATGTATTCCAGAAGGAGCAAGAAGCTGAATGAGCAGGAGGAATAATAATAGTAGGAGTAGAAATAAAAGTGTATGAGGGTAGATGGATGGGTAGGAAAAGGGAGGGAAAGGAGAAAGGCAGGTATGTGTATCTTATATGCCTTGTATTCTTATATGTATCTTATATGCCTTGTATTCTTACTCTTACAAACTCCTCAGAAGATTCTGCGTGGAAGAGTGGCATGACTTAACACAGGTTTTTAGGCAGATCACTCTGGCTTCTATGTTGATAAAAATACAGAATTGGGGCAAGGAAAGAAGGAATGAGACCTTTGAGAAGAATACTTCAATAACCTAGTCAAAGATGAGGCTGGCATAGTGCAGGATGATGCAAAGTGGAAAGAGGACAAACAGTTCAATTACAGTAACAAGAGCAAGGCAATGTCAAAAGGCAAAGGTGTCGATAGTTTGGTAAATGTGGCAGTGAGTGGTTCCTTGTGGAAATTCTCTTGCTGACTGTTTCCCCACATTGCACCCTAAAGACAAGAAGCAAGGTCATTCGTTGAGGTGACAGACGAGAATATTAGAAGTTCTTGCTCTGGAGAAGTTTTTCCCTGCAACTACAAAAGAGAAGGAAGAAAACGTCCCCTTCCTGCCTTGGATATGGTTGGATCTAGATAAAACATGTAGCATTTCTGCAGTCATCTTCAGAACATGACGGCAAAGAAGCCTATCTCTCCTTTGTATCTCTCAAACTCATTATCCACATAACAACCAAAATGATCTTTTTCAAACGTAAACCATCCTTCAAAGGTGGGTTACCTTTAGGATTGTGGAATCATCCAAAATAACAGTAAGAATTGAGGAGAAGACTGAGCCCAGTGCTAATAAAACCTAACAGCCAAAAGCTCAACAGAGGCTAAAAACTAGGAGGAAAAGAGGTCAATCAATGAATGAATAATTAAAATAAATGTCTAAGATTATGCAAAATCCTCTTCTAACTCTCTATGACTTTCCAGAGCTTGCATTTCTAATGACTGTTTTAATCATTCTCATCCACATCTCATAAAACAAATTTCACAGAAAAAAAATTATCCCAGCATAAAATAAAAATGTATTTGCTATACGGAGCAATAGAAGTATTGCTGCACTTTTTGTTTTGTATAACTTGTTGTTTTGTTCTTAAATGTAACTACACTGCACGTTTTAAAGGAGGGAAGAGGCTTGTGGAAAAGGAAAAAGTAAAAGCCCACACAAATTACAGGTTATTCCAGAAAGGGAAACATAGTAAAAGAAAGCATTCAAAGATAATCAGAAGCTAAAACTGGAGTAAGGAAAGAAAAAGAATTGAAGCAGGTATTATCTATATTTGTATATACTGGGTTCTCCTTTTGTCCAACAGGAAGTTAGCTTGAGGTTTAAAGCATGAGGAGAAATGGAAAAAAAGATCACTGAACAGCCAACAAATAATTCTATGTCTAGATGTGCAAAGCACTCTGCTAGACAGTTGTCCTATAGAAGTATTAGATGCAGTCTGCCCTTAAGGTAGCTATCATTCATAAGCAAGGTCTTCTTAAAAGTTCATTTTTAATATTCTCCAATAAATCATCACACAATTAATGTTGAAAAGAGTTAAAGATCAAATTATAAATTGTTCAAAAAAGGTATGGGTAGAACCTTAGAATATAAATGGGCATTTGGAATTCAAGATTTCGACTACAACTATATAAGGGTGAAGTCAGTCCAAAAGCAGGATTCCAGTTCATATCTCCCATTCACTGCTGTGGAATCAATTCTGACTCACAGTGACTGAACAAGGGCAGAGCAAAACTGCTCCATAGGGCTCTGAGACTGTAAACCTGTACAGAGCAACAGCCTCATCCTTTTCCCTCAAAGCAACTAGTGGTTAGCAGCTTCATGCTTAAACCCCACTGTGTCACCAGGGCTACTTCAGTTTGTGTACACATAGGTTTATTCCAAACAAAAATGTTTAAGAACATCTCTAGGACCAGTTGTCAGTAACACACTTAAGTCTCATTAGAATGACTTCAAAAAAAAGGTCCAATCAAAACAGTGACTTCCAAGGGATCTACCATGGCTGCAAACTTGTGCCAAGGAACTTTTTTTTATCCATCATGACAATGCTCCCAATACGGCCCTGATATTGCCCCTCAGGCTTGTTTTTTGTTCCTCTAACTCTAAGAACATTGAAAAGAACACAATTTAAGTGCCCTGAGTATGCTACAACTCTA